CAACATACTACAGGTTGACATGCTCTCTTTGCCTTTTKTAAATGCCTTGTGTCTTTGATATCTAATTAAGCAGGGAAGAGGAGTTCAGATGTTAAAGGTCCAAGGCAACCCGGCGTGCATCACGGTCGGGGAATAAATTCGAATATCAGTGTAAAATTGATTGCTATGCGTTGATTTTAATCGATATTTCAAATCAAAGAGTTCGTTAGATGCTAAAGTAACTTTATTTTTAATTCTAGTTTGATATATTTAACAGGAGCGCTCCGCTTTAGGTTGACCGGCCATAATTACAGCGATCACTTTGCCAATAGAATCATTCATATTCCAGTTCTACTTGTGGCGTATTTTAAGATTAGGATGATAATTACATATTCGATACATATGAGAAACGACGTTCTTGTCATATCATTTCATTCTCAAATATAAAAGTATTTGCATGGTTGACATCGAGTTATTGGTCTCTGATTTCATAGCATTCTGGGATTTTGCAGGGTTCTTCTTGGACTCCAAGGGAAATTAATATATTGGACCCTAACAGTGCATATATATTAAGGCTAGCTGCTGTCTTTTATGAGTTTAATTAATAATGAAAGTTAACATTTAATTTTCAATGAATCTTATTACATTGCATGGTTTGATGTAATTGAGTTATGTCAAGCACAGTACAATTCCATATGTAAAGTTTACATTGCTTTAAAAACTACTTGGTTAGAAAAACATCTCATTTCTATCTCAAATATATTCATGAAAAACTATTTTTTGTTCCTTATGTATTTCAAAATTACAATTTTGGGTCATTGATGTCAAGGGAAAATCCAACTTTACTCAAACCGCTTTTAAAATCCTTGTTTTTGATCTCATTTCTGGAAAAAAAAAATTGGTCGCCTTTCTTTGCCATTTTGATTCTGCTATTCAATGTGGGAACATTTTGCCTTCTCTGCGCATGTGCATCGGGACTGTTAATAATTACAAATGAGTCCTAGTTTTGCGACAACCCTGCACATAAAATACGGAGCGAAAATTAAAAATCAATAATAAACTAACTTTCTTAGAATTATGACACCGCAATTTAGTCTAAAATTTATTTATACATGCTGTTGACCAACTTCGTTCTAAAACTTCGTTGTAAGTTTTCGTAGTTGCAAATTACTCGCGTCCAGGCCTCCCTCAGCTGCTGTGCCTTCATTGTTAACAGCATACGCTTTTTGCTTAGTGAAACTCAGGCTCAAATTACTGGTTGTAGTTGACTGGGGTGGCTTGCTCCTCTCTCGTTTACCGCAGAAAATGGCGCGAAATCCTGACCTAAAATCACGCATGCGCAGAATATAGATAAAGAAATTTATCGCCGAGTTGATGTACTGGAGAAACTTCATGGCGAAAAAATAATTAAAATGAGGCAGTGAAACCTTACCAAAAATCACAGACATGAAATACAATTGGTAAGGAAGCCATGTTGACAATGATGCGAGCGTGACGATGAAGAGCGTGAGTGACAGCTTTTTGTCATGTAATGTGCGATTCTGATTTTGCGCACTTGGGTTAGCGTGACGACTCTTCATCCAAATACCGAGATACGAGACAATCATGATCGTGAGTGATAAGCAGAGAAAAGAAATACGAGCACTGTTGTAATATTCTAGTTTTTCGCCTATTCCTGGAAAATCTAACCCGACGTATGTCAAAACGAGTACTACAGCAGAAAGCCACGGTGCAAGACACATGACGAGGTAGTGCTTAAAACGCAGCATCCTGTGTTTGAAAGGAAACACAATGGCATAAAATCGCTCGACTGAAATAACAGTCAGACCGAGCAGAGACGTTGTACCTGTGAATAAATCAACAGTGTTTAAAGCGTAAACAAAAGATAGCGGTTGTGTGAACGGCTCAAGGGAGAAAAAATACGCCACCATGAAAATAATGATGGATACTGTTAAATCAGCAAGAGAAAGATTGATAATCATGAAGTTTGAGCGCCTGCGAAGAGACTGGGTCTTAGCGAAGGTGATAATGGAAGCCAGGTTGCCCAGCAATGTGATGATACCAAATATGGCGAGAGATGTGACCTGCGCAATGACTGTTGCTTGACTTCGATAAAAATACAACGGGAGGTTTCGCTTTGTATTTGAGATGGTGAAGTTGGATGAATTGTTGATATTATTCATGTCTGAAAAACAGAATATATAAGATTTGAATAACGAATTTTGAAAATATCCTTTAAGCTACAAGCTCACAACACTGAAATAATTAATGAAAACACAAATGCATGCTTTGAACCGATAAAAACTGAAAACGCCTCTTTTTCTGTCTACGGACTTTAATTGACATCAGGGTGGTAGTGTTTATCGACCGCTCCTCTGCTGTAACAGCTTTATCTGAAGGTACCTGTTTCGATATTTTTGTCTTAGGATCAGATCTGTTCCTTGGTAACAGCTTTTGTGCCAAATGATACGCTTGATATTTTGGATTGGTATGTAAACTGTATCGAAAAAAAGTTGATTAAAATAAGAATTACGAAGTAGCTTAGATTCTAATATTTCTAAAAAGCTCAGTCTGATACAACTTGAGGGAATAGAAATCTGAATAAACCAAAAGAAGAGGCTGAGAAAAAAGAAACAAAATTGAAGGTCTTTGCTTGGTTTTAATGAAGGTGTCCATTATGAATGCTGACATTTCCGCAATAAAATATACCTTTTCATGACTGAATGAGTAAATAATTGGAAATATAAAGAAGTGTCAGTTGGTTTGTTTGTATAGGATATAAGGGCTGGTAGAAAACACTTCCATGATTTCCATATATTCCATATATACTTATTTCAAAAAATTATTTGAAAACTTTTTTTTTCAATGACTGTTGCTTGAGCTCGATATATCATTAGAATTAATGTATAAATGACACTTATGTTTGTAACGATTTCATATACTTACTTTTAGCGTCGGAGGTTTGATGCCAACTGCTGCAAAATGATTATTTTGTTAGAAATGAAAGGCGCTGATCAAACCCAGAAATGATATTCGTAGTAGAACACAGATGTATTAGAAGCCTGCTATCACAGATGTATTAGAAGCCTGCTCCCGAAAGAAATAATTGAATTATTTTTTGTCTCGATCATTTAAACATTCATATATAGTCTAATAGCTTCATATCCCAAATTCCAATTAGATTTAAACTATACCTTAATTAAAGCAGTTAATTGCTCTGTATTTTGATAAAGTGGTAGTGTCTTATTTAACTTTTTCATTAAATCTGTTTACTTTACTTTCCTAACTCAAGCACATATGGTATAAGCCGGATAGCATACCATCTGTTCGATGACATACCACAGGTTGACATGCTTTTTTGCCTTGTTTAAATGGCTTATTTGCTTTAAAAGCATTAAGCAGGGAAGAGGAGTCCAGATGTTAAAGAGCCAAGAAACCCGGCGTGCACCACGCGGTCAAGGAATGAATTCGACTATCAGAGTAAAATTCATTTCTATACGTCGATTTTAATCGATATATAGCTATTTCAAAAAAGGTTGTCAGATAAAATGGCGAATGTCAATGGTCGAACGGCGATTGCACGACCGAAAATAGCCATGGGTTTTGCTAGTTGAAAGGCAATAACAACTGATCTGTACTGTAAGATAGTCTTTGGTAAACATTGGCTCCATTTAGTCTCCATTTCTATGTAAGGTGAATCTAAAAGTGAAATTTTGTTTACCAAAACAGTGTAAGCATAGTCCCTTTCGGTCGTGCAATCTCCCTTCGACAATCGCTGTTCGCCGTTCTTCCCGACAACATTTTTTGAAATAGCTGTATCTCACTGATATTTCAATTCGAAGAGTTCGTCAGATGCTTAAAAGTAAATTTCTTTTAATTCTAATAGATGAGGTGACGGTTTTGTCCGCCATTTTGGACTGGTAGGCATAGTGTCGCAAAATAACAAGGAATGACCGGGAAATCGATGTCAAATAATTCTCGCTGAATTCAAATTCAGAAAGAATTATCATTTGCAAACGTTAGATACTGCAAAAAGGAGTTAACTGGCCAAATTTGAAAGGCGTACTTGATCTAGAGAGCGAGTAAACTCATTTTTAGTTCTCCATACATTTCTTTGTAATTTCAATACATTTCGTTATAATTTCCGGGGTCATCAGTGCGTGACGCGCGTGAAAAATACAAAGAAATGTATTGAGAACTAAAAATAAATTTTCTCGCTCCCTAGACGAAGCACATCCTTCAAATTTGGCCAGTCAGCTCCTTTTTGTAGTATCTAACGTTTGCAATTGATAATTCTTTCTGAATTTGAATTCAGCGAGAATTATTTGACATCGATTTCCCGGTCATTCCTTGTTATTTTGCGACACTTTGCCTACCGGAACAAAATGGTGGCCAAAACCGTCACCTCATCTATTTGATATATTTAAAAGGATCGCTCAGCTGCAAGTTGGCCGGCCATAATAACAGCACTTTGGCACTTTTGCATATGGGACCGACGTTTTTCTCATGTTATTTCATTCT